AAACTGTCTACCGCAATTGTCGTGGCAAGGTAAACAAATATGCGTATATGGCTGGCTGGCCGGCTAACTACATTGGCCATTGGCTGCAGTCCTGATCCCGGGGTTCCTGGTGTTCGTTCCAATGGGGGTGGCTTGGGTTGGTTTTTGGGGTGGAACAAATGTGCCTATTTGTAGCTGAAGGTTGGGGATTTGGACACCCTCCTTTGGTGCGGTCGCCTGCTATAAAATTCTGTGCGGAATGGACATTCGGACTTTTAATATGCTCGAGTAATGTCTGCATTAACAGAATTCATTTGCAGGACATGGCCAGCAGCCAGGACAACCCCATCCATGTGTGTATGTGTGTGTTGTGTGTTGGTGTGGAGAAAACAAATTTATGTCGTGCTACTTGCTGAAATTGGATTTCTGGCCGCTGCCTTCCCCTGGTTGTTATTGTTGTCGTCACATCGTTGCTTTTTAGTCACCAAAATGAGAGGAAAAACCAAGAAGAAAAACAAAACTTAACACACAGGACGAAGGACGAAGGACGAGGTTAGGTGGAGTGGAGGAATTTGTTTCCATTCCAGGTTTTAGTACGTGTAATCCTTTTTCATGATTTGCACGCCACTTCAGGGGACATTTGCCGGCCTTGGCATTAGTCTCAGGTTAGTCGTTCGTCCTCAGCTCTCACTCTTTCACTCTCTCACTCAGAGTCGTAATCAAGTTGAATGCCTCAATTAGGGCACTGGCTCCCTCGAAATTGGAATGACCTGGCACGTGTTTTTATTTTCATCTTTATCTATTTATTGTCTAATTTTAATGGTCCATCGCTCGCTTCTTCTTCTCTCCATTGCAGAATGGCAAATTGCCCAGGAACCTGCCCGCTCTGCGGGCCATGGAAATGGCATTGCGTACCAACTCCTTTGCCACGCCCCCATGCCCAGCGAGGAGCGAACAGGACATGGAGGACTCCGACGAGGAAATGGAGTACATGCCGCCACTGCACAGTGAGTACGAGTACACTGGGGGAAATACTTTAAGGTTGAGTTGGAAAATTAACTGAAATTGGGTCAATGCTTTTGTGGAAACTGCTAACACCTTTTAAGACCAACTAAATATTTATAAGCCAATCTTTAATAATCTTCTTTAATCTTTCTCTTAACTTACAAAAGATAAGTCTTTATCTTAAACCATTTCAAAGATGTAGCCATCGGAATATGTCATTGATAATGCTTTGGATCATTCCAATATTAAATCCAACAGTTAAATCCTTGACATGAGATTGATGAATAAGATTACAGTTTAAACCCAACATTGTCACAATATTTTTTTCGGCGTGTAAGAGTACCTTTTCCCTGTCCAGTGGCAAATTCAATTAAAAATTTTTGAAACTGCTCCACCTGCACGTGCGTGACGAGCTTCTGACGTCCAGCAATGATGGTCGGGAGCAGAAGCACCTGGCTATCCTGGTCCTTTGGTCCTTCGGTTCAGTGGTCCATTGGTCCAGTGCTCCGTTGTCAGAGCCACTGTCAGGCGTTTCAATTTACTTTTATGTCTCGCAGCCTTATCGCGGCGCAAATTGAAATGAAATCTTGACACAATCAGCATGCCCATGCCACCGGCAGCTCGGATTCCCACATACAATTAAGTTAAACGCTGACCATCAATTATGGGACGGGCTCTAAGGCAGCTGGGCGCTGGGTTGTCCCAGAAATGGCCAAAGTTTCCAGCCCAAAAAAAAAAATACATACACATTTGTGCCAGGCAAATAGCCAGGGCGGTAAATAGACAAGCTGGAGAAAAAGAAAACAACAACAACATTCAGGGAAAAGCCAAGTCAGAGCGACAAAAAATTGTCAACTTATGCGAAAGTCCCTGCCCTGCCCTTTTTTTCCCACACTTTTCCCGGATGTTACGTTGCGCTAAAGATGATATCAGAAACTTTCCTCTGAGCTGCCGGCAAACAAAAGCCGTAGCCGTGGCAAAATGTTCTCAGAATCTCTCTTCAACTCCCCCCCGTTATTTATATTAATATTTTTATCATTTTATGACGACTATACAAATGTGAAAGACGTCGGCCTGACCACCTTGAGCCGGGATTGCGGCCAAAAACTTTTTGGCCTCAACTTAAATTCAGTTTATTTAGCCGTTGTGTCGAGCAACCGTATTAATCCTCTGCCAGAGACCCATTTACATTTCATTTGTGCGTCCCGCCCTTAAATATTATAGAATAATGAATATATAAATCAAGACGAAACTTTCTGCGTTCCGCCTTGTGTGGTTGGTGCTTAGCATATTATGTAATAAATCAATATTGGTGGATTTATGGGACCGAATATGGTTCGACCTTGGCGCTAACTCTTTTCTTTAAGGAATTTATATAAGGAAACTAGAAGATTTTGGCTTACTTTGACTTACTTTCAAAAACTGAATAGGTTTACATTTTCACTACATTTAAAATCACTTAATTTACAAATATTAACTTAAATGTATTAAGTTTGATATTTAAATAGGGGATCGCATTAAGAGGGCTAAAATTCAAGGGGAAATCTACATCAGCTGGCTTTCGTCTGCTCGTTTTTCTTGCCTCCTTTAAAAAACCCGCGGCAGCAGCTGTAAGTGCTTCGCTTTGCAGCTGTTCCAATTTTTAGTGTAAATAACCTCGGCAGCAGCAGCAGCCTTGTTTTTGTCCCCTGCTTGAGTTTTCCCAGCCAACCCCCATCCGCCCACCCATTTTCCACTTTCCACGCTTTCCCTCTTCGGCACACTTGTCAATATGAAAATGTTGCTGCTGGGCCGCTGATGTTGCCGGTGGCGCTGTTGCCATAGCCGTTGCCGTTGCTGTTGCATTTTTTCGCTCACCTGAATGTTTGTTCAGTCAGAAAGTTTTGATTTATTTACGGCGCAAGTTTTACATTTTACACGACACTCGCCTCCAATTACACGCCGCTGCCACTGGCACAGCCAGCAACCCTTCCAACTGAACTCATTTGCACCTCACCAACCCCCGGCTGCCGCCCTAAAAAAACCGGGTAAAAAAGGAAAACTGAAATACTTTCCTTCAGATTTTAATCGCTCACGTGAGTCCTGCGAAAGTGTGCGAGTGTTTGTGTGTGTGTTGATGTTTGTGTTGCTACATATTTAGTCGCAGGATATATCGCTGTTGGTGTTTTACTTTCAGCTGCTCATGTTGCTGTTGCTTTTGCTTTTCCCAATTTCCATCATTGTCGTCACGCTGGACTTGGCCATTTGCATAATGCAGCAGCTAGAGATCTGGCTAACTATGGGGTAAATGTGTGTTCATGGGATGTGAAATTCCTGATATAGATCAGGTCTTTTAGCAAATCCGAATCGGATGGGTAGGATATGAATAGACTTCTGGGGTTCTAAAATGTTATATGGTTTAGTCTTAGTTATTCTTAATCAATCTTTTTAACCTGATTTAAGTTTTACTTTACTTCTTTGAAACTTTAATTTAATTTAATATATTTAAAGATGTTTGGAAAACTTCTTTAATCAATATTATTTAACCAAATCTGGGTAAGCACGCCAAAGCTTACCTTCATTAAACCATACTTATAAAGTTTATTTATACCTTTTAAGTTATGCGTGCGACAAGTTCTTACTTGGTTGGTTTTTCCCCAGAGTTAAACCCTTTCCTTTCTGAAGGTTTTGCAGTGCAAGTTGCATGCAACGTAACCGATATCTGTTACACCATCGACGTCATTTCGTCCTGCAACGAGGCAACGAGTGTGTTTGTGTTTGAGCTTGTGTTTGTGCCTACCCCATGAATATGCAACACAGAGTTTGCCTCGTTATTCCGCCATGTGAGATTGGTATGGGTATCCGTATCCGTTTCCGCTTTGCGGGAAATCGATCAGGAGGCCGCTTTGAGATACAGAAAAGAAGATTGTCGCTTCGCCGGTTCATCTTGAAAATACTTAACTGGTCAACTGTTCTTTAAGGCTTAAATAGGGCTAGGAAAAATATAGATACATATAGATTTATTAAAGTTAAGAAGTTTTCCTACATTCATAATGCGAAATGACCTTGAAGACCGGCGGGGAATATCTTGTGGCAGTCTCTTTGCCTTTTGCCTGACCAAAAACCAAAGCCATTTGCGACTCAGACTCATCTTAGCCACTTTTCGCTCCACATGGCCGCAAAATGCTGCCCAGACTTGGGCCCAACGTCTTCGGAGGTCTGCGTCTAATACGCTTTCGGCGCAGAGTAACAGTTGCTAAAATGTTTTCTATTGTTTTCACGCTCAACAAAAGGCAGACAATTAGTTTTCTTAAACGACAAATCAAGTAGAAATTAAGTGGTGGCGGGCAAGGGCAAAAGCTGCCGCAACGATCTGAGTGCTGCGGGTGGTTATGGTGGTGGGTGATGGGCGATGGGTGGTGGTGGTGCTCGTGCCTTTGGTGGCAAGTTAGGCGACTAGAGAGTGATAACAAAACAAAAGTGGATTATTGGCTCTCGAGCGCATAAACAATAGCATATGAGCCTGTGTGTTTGTGTGCCTGGGTCTTTGTTTGTTTGCCTAGTGTAAAGCGTTTGAGAACACTCCACTGAGAAGGACTCGGGGGTTTTTGCATAATGAGTTCATACTCGCGATAATGTAATCTGTAAGCAAATACGCTGTTAGAATTAGTCTTGTGAAGGAAAATGATAAGGAGGATTAACAGAGAGTGCTTAAATCTGTTGTATAACAACAAAATGTGCCATAATTTGGTTATAAAAGCAGGGAAATAAATCAAGGGAATAATAATAAGAAAGTCCTGGAAAAACCCTTAGCCAAGACAGCAACCTTTTCGAAATTTCCCATGCGCATGCCTGAGAGAGATTTTTTCCTTTGAAGACTTCGTCGGGCATTCGGGACTTTTCCTTATGGCCAGCACGAATGCTAGTCAGTCGGGCAGGATGAAAGGATTTCGGAGCGGCAGCGACGCCGGCAGAATAACGGTAAACGACCAGAGCGGTACGATGTGTTGACTATTTGTGAGGCGGACGAAGGCGCTTCGCTTTCAGTTTGAATTGTGTCCTCGTTAAGAAAGGATATTCGTTACATTGTTGTTAAGTTGTTATTATAATTTCTCAAACAAACCAACCAACCAACCAAAAGCAAACCGAAAGCCAACAGCTCGCTAAAGAGAATTCAAAATAAAAACCGAAAAGTAAGAAAAAGCGAAAAAAAGGAAAACCAGAAATCGACGAAGTGAAATAAACGAAAGCCGAACAAACGAAAAACTAACCAAGAACTGAATAAAAATAAAATATAAACTTACAAAATATGATAAAATATTAAAAACTTGAAAAATAAAACGAAATATTCATAAACCAGTTAAATATTTATTTTTTATCAAGTTGATTTGAGTTTAAATGCCTTTTCCAGTGCTGATCGCTAAAGTGTTCGAAAACTGTTGTATTTTCATGAGTTAAGAAGTGTTCTTAGAGGTTTCAAGAAAGACTTTTGTTGCATAAACTTGCCAAGTGTTTGGAATTGAAAGATTTGTGTTTTGAAAAATGAATGTGCGTTTTTAGGGGCAGAATGTTTTCCAGCTTTTATTTAGCGATTTTCCAAACATTTGAAATGCCTTTTGCCAGAAAATCGATTCGAGTTGCGGATTTTTGGAAACGTTTAACCCGTTTTGGGTTCCTTGGCTCCGTTGTCACCCAGGCGAGCATCGATTTTGGCCATATTTACATAGCCCAGCCACAACGCTTTTTGCGTGCATGTATTTTTGTATTTTTGTTGTGCCTGTTGTGTTTTTGGCCACATTATGTACAACTACAGGCGTCTACAGGCACTTCGGCTTGTGGGCCACATAAACCGACAACGAGCAGCCAATAAATGCTGCCGACCGGGCTCCTATATAAAAAGGACACTGCAGCTGTGTGTGATTCATACTCTCATTCTCCGCCAGACACACACAAATGCTGTGTGCCGTATGTATTTTGTATTTTTGGTGTGGCCCTTGCACTCGTCCTGGTTTTTTTTTCTCCTTCTCGCTTTTTTTTTTTTGTTTGCCCGCGAGTGCTTCCGTGTGTCCTGGGCTCTCCAAATAAACATAAAAATATAAGTTTATATTTATATTTATACATAGCATTTGTCTGTCCCACCGTCCGGGCGAGAGATATAAAAACCGGAAGCGTCTGATCCTGACACTTGCCAACACTTGGGGCGTACAGGGTGTCAGGACTCGCAACTCAGGATTCAGGACTCGCTTTGTTTGGGATGCTCTTGGTGGCATTGCCATCTTTTTCGGGGGGCCTGTCGTAAAACCCCAAGCTCGACTCCTTGTGCGTGTTTTTTTGGCACTTGTACTCCGCTGCTTTTATTATTATTGTTATAATTTTTTCGCCGCTGAGCTGGCTGAGCTGTCTGTTTCTGCTTTTGGCACTTAGACATTGCGTTACGCGCATAACTTTTTATTTTTTGTTGGCTCATGTTTCGCTTTGTATGCGTATGCGTGTGCGAGCACACAAATCGTAAAATATTAAATTTAATTTTTCAAATGATGTGTGAATGGCTTAGTCTTGATATATGATAATGGTTGTGCGTTGTGTATCCATAAAACCGAGTTTTATTTACTTTTCTTATGGTTCGAAGGACTTTGATCACACTAGCATGTCAGCCAAGGCAAACTTAATTATCCGTTTGTTTGTTTTCGCTTATGATTTTCAGCTTAAGGAATATTTATACTCTTCGAGTACAACAAATATTCTGACAAGCGTAAAACCAAACTTTGTGTTTAAATTTTTCCTTTAGAAAAAAGAAAACCAAGGGAATCCACTTGCCATCCAGTGCTAGGGATTCTGCCTGGGAACATAATTCAAAAACCAAATGAACTTTTCGAAAACAAATTTCATTGGTCTGTGATAAGTGAAGGTCAAGCGAAGAGGAAATTTTTTATGAAAACCAAAAACTAAAAAACTAAAAACCAACCACAACCAACACGAAGCGGAACAAAACGGCAAGGAAAACCACAGAAAGGCAGCATTTTCCAAATTAGCAAAATTGTAGAAATTATTTAATGCATCAAATCGTTTGACCAAACAACAAGCAGCAGCTACAACAACAGTGCGGTTTCACACAAAAAGGCGGCCATTAAAATAAAACAAAAACAAAAGTTAAAAAACCAAAAACCTAGCCAAATTATAACACAATTTATTTATATCATCAACTGCAAGGCGGCAGGCACTTCATTAAGCATCAAAGCGAGCTGCGTTTAACCACAGAACGTGCAAATTTCGCACCGCAACTGTAGTAGCAACACCACCAGCACCGCCACTACCAACACCACCAGAGCCACTGCGCCAGCCGTAAAATGTTGGCCATGCCCACGCTGATGATGCAAGCCACCGCCCAGATGACGCTTAGCGCCGCCCACGGAAAGCCCTACGAGACAAAGCTCTTGGCCATCCACCAGACGCATCAGCTGCAGCAACAGCAGCAGCAGCAGCAGCAACAGGCTCCCGCCCCGCAGCAGCAGCAGCAGCAACAGCAAGTGCAGCAGGCACAGCAAGCGCCTAACGGCAAGCAGCAGTCGCAGCAAATGACCATTGTTACCACGCAGCAGCAGCAGCAGCAACAGCAGCATCCCCAGTCGCAGTCGCCGCATCAGCAGCAGCAATCGCAGCAGCAGGCTGCCGCAGCAGCCGCCGCTGCAGCTGCAGCAGCCCACCATCAGCAGCAGCAAGCTGTGGCCGCTGCCGTCTGTGCCGCCCAGCAACAAGCTGTGGTTGTGCAGCAGCAGCAGCAGTACCAGATCCACTCGCAGCAGCAGTCGCCGCAGCAGCAGGTGCTCTGCATCTCGCCTAAGCAGGGTAAGCTAAAGAATCAGAGAGCTATATAGTATAAAGATAAATTTCGGGATGGGTCCATTAAGTTTTTATAAATCAAACTCTGTTTTCATATATCCTATATACGTACGTATTTATTTCATTTTTGGTTAACTTAATTTCCCCACAAATATTATTTCCCAACAATAACTGATATTTAACCTTGTACCCCTTTCTGACTTTCTGAGACCTCTCCCATCAAATTCTTAAGCTAATACCCACATTAACATTAGCTCTTTCTGCGCGTAATTGTCATAATCGATATGTTGATGGCCCAGCTAATAAATTCGTTGCCCGAAACTGGGGAACTCCTTTGACGATTCCCTGATGGATGAGCTAGACCCCATCGAGGTGTGGGCTCGACCCATTTGTTTACGAGGACCCCCAACACTTTGGGCACTTATCGATTGGGTTTTATTGCCTGCCTACGCCTATGGCCGTATTTTAGTCCCAGTCCGAGTCGCAGGTCCTTACAAATTTCACGAGTTTTACGACCAGCTCGAGCAGTTCAAGTAATGCTTTTTATGGTTTCGTCGTAAAAGTCGGCCAAGCCTCTAATAGCTGTCTAATGTTATTTGGCCTCAGAACGAGGCCCGCGTGTTTGACAAAGTTTACGTTTTCACTTAGTCTCTGAAAATAAAAACAAATAACACAAGAATATATAGTACAACACCTATCCGTATCACAATTATAGAACTAAAGGTGTCTGGCTTTGTTGCTCTGCCAAATCAAATAGAAATCAATTTGAAATTATTGACAATTTCCACATTGGCATTGGCTCAGTCAATCGACTCGATTCGATTCTGATTCTTCGATTTTGTCATAGTTGGCATTCTGACTAAACGAAAGGCAAACAAACACACTCGTAGGAAAAGCAAACAGACGGCGTGGGCGTCTAAGTAAATACTATGGGAAGGGGGGCGTGGCCCTTGTCTGTCTGCTGCTGTTGTTTCTTCGTTTTTGTTCAACTTATTCGAGTCTGAGTAAAAGAAAAAGGAAAACGAGACGAACTAGTAAAGTGCAGCGGGCAACGCGGCGTATACGTAACATTTAAACGCACGTCCACACTTGACCAGTTTTTTTTACTTCTCTGCCAAGAAGACTGGGAATTGAAAATCGAACTGGAGACCTCTCTGTGCAGCAGGACTCTGGAAAAGAAAAGTTTCTTTCGCAAGTTTGCTGCCGTTGCTTTGCGGCAAATTTGTTTTTAAATTTTCCGAGTGTCTGCCGAAATTTTCAATTGAATTCGTCGTCGTAAGATGCAGAAACAAATTGCCAAAAGCGAACGACACAAGAATGTGTAAGAAAGTTGTAAGCAAACAGACAAAGGCGCGTTGAATTTGGCTTATAAAGTGGCTACCGCTTTTTGTCTGAGTGTCGCAACCGGCAAATGTCGTCCTTTGTTAAGGACGGTAAGGACGTTGACTGATGCGTTGGCACAGCTGCCAAGTAGCCCCGCCATTGTTGTCCTCCCAGGTTCTTGGGTCTTTGGTTTTGGGTGGGCCAACTTTAAACAGGTGATCGATTTTTCTCTTTGTCACTTTGGCGCAGCGTTTCGTTGGCCAAACGAGAAATTTAATAAAATGTGGCGGGTCGAATTTAATCCGCTTGCAGGCGGCTTGCGACACCTATCATATATTAAATATGGCATATTTAAATTATAAAATAAAGTGAAATAAAATTGAGCGCGCAGAGCTGGCAGATTATGGCTGATTTTGAAGCCCATTTAGCTGCTTCCATTATGGAAATTATTTATATTATTTTATTTGCCATTTTTTCCCGCTGGCTCTCCCACAATTTGCATATTCATATTCCTAACGAGAGCAATAGTTTAATATTTTTATTTTTTTCGCCACTCGAATGCAATTGAATAAATAAGCGTATTAAATGTTTACCGAACAGCCGACATAAATTTTCATATAACTACAGCTTAAATTAGGGCCTTCTGCCCAGACCTTGAATATATTGGAAAACACTATAAATTCCGCTGGAGAAGCCATTAAGAGCCCTGTAATTAGGCTGATGAATTCAGAGCTCCGGTTCGGAATAACAACAAGCGCCGTGTGGAAAGGAGCTACCCTAAAGTGGAAAATAAATTCAGTTCGGCGTCTGCTGCTGAGTTAATGCATTTTCCGCTTCCATAAGCAGACACAAAGACCGATTCGTGTGCGAATGTCGAATGTCCTTTGGCTTCTGCTCCTGCCGCCTCCCTAATGATAATGATGATGATGATGACGATTATTATTGGCAGGCAGTGCATTGCATGCCGAGTGCATTTTGTCAACCTGCTCGCTGCTAACTCATCGCCCATTATCGTCATTATTGTGGCCGTTAAGTACGTTTGCCACCATTATCCTTCTAGTCCTTCTGTCCTCTCCTGTTCGTCCTTGCTCCTTCAGCAGTTATTATGTTTTAAATATGCCAGCAGCGTTCTTCGTATATCTTAAGCATTTTTTCTGCCAGAACGCCTCGCCATGGCCTCGCTGCTCAATGGTTTTTAAAATTGAAAACTATATATCAATTGCCTAGGCCAAGGGGATAGTTTGTCGTCGGCCGGCAGTCTGGACCGGGAGGAGGCATGGGTATCGGCATCGGCATCTCCTTTGTCTGGCCGGGTGCCCTTTTTTTTCGTCCCTGCTCCTGCGAGGACTTCTCTCGCTCGCTCTCTCCTTATGGGCTTTCATTTATTTGCTATTAACCTGTCATTGTTCATTTTTATTATTGTGCGGTTTTTATGCTCGCTTTTTGCGCTTTGTCCTCGCCATTTGTTGTTGCAATCGTGTCTCGCGGCATTTTTCCGCTCGTATGTGTGTGTGTGTGTGTGTGCAATAAATTGTTATTATCGCCGCGTTGCAGCATGTCGTCGTCGTCCTTTTGGAAGGACTTCGCCTTGTCCTCCGCAGACCATGCAAAAGATTTATAACTTTTATTATTATTGAAGCTTATTTGCCGCTTTATCTGGCGCTCCCGGACTTTGGTTCACAGCTCAGCCATGGTTTACGACTGGAAAATCAATCATACGCCATGTTTGACGTCGAGTCAAGCCAGCCATGAGCATCACCTGCCACTATGGTGAAGGCAATGGAGTTTATAGACACCGCTTTTGTTTTCCCCAGTTGTCAACGTCTTTTTGTATTAATTTTTCACCGCCACCCGACACTCATTGATGTTGGCTGTCATTAATGCCTTTGCCCTGCTGTCCATCCGCTGTCCACTTTGGCAGCGACTTTGTCTGGCTGCAAGGCAGGTGCAGGAATGCAGAAAAGAATCCCCGAAGGATGCACTCGAAGAAATTCGTGAGCGGTTCCATAAGGATTTCAAACGTTTTTAAAGTATTTAGCCATGATGATAGCCATGAATTCATTAGCTCAGTAAGAGAGTTCTAACTTAATGACTTTATTTAAATATGCTTTAACAGATTTTTCCTCTGTGTGACAGCTTTTACAATATATGGCATACCATATACTATTGGATGGGGAATTCGCCTCGAAGGCTGCTCACTTAATTCAGTGGGAGGCGCAAGTGGGGCATGGGTTAGTATGCCAAGTGACGTCCAGCGGCTGATGCCTTGTTATTAAGTGGACGCTGCAGTTCCACTTCCACTTGGACAGAGGGAAAACTTTTTACAAACGTCACTCCTGTCCAGCTCCCTGGCATTCCGCCTGATTTTCCCGTTTGTGCCGTTTTCCTCGTCTTTCTCGGCTCCTTTGTTTTTGTTTTTTTGCTAAATGCCAGCAAACAACAAAAGCAGCATAAGGCAGTTTGGACAGCCGGGATGAGCATACAACTACGTAGCTAATACTTTAGCAGCCGGATTAGGTTCAATTGGAGCGGGCAGAGGGATAAAGGGGAAAAGGGGCGTAAAAAGAGAGAGACATCCTGGCTGGGAAAAAAATCTCAAGCCCACACATATACCCATACATACACACCAACACTTACATGCAACAAGGACTAAAAGAGAAAAGGAGGAAGGAATAAAAACTGTTGTAGCAGGCATTAAAGTTTAAACGTTGGTAAATTCCTACAGCTTCCGCTTTGTTGGACTTCATGACAGTCACTGCGGGGACAATGGACCGCTTGACTGGACAAGGCCAGGTGGAAGAGGGTTGAAGTAATGGTAGGTCCTGCGGTCCAGTCAGGTGCGTTCGTGTGCTTGATGGGTGCAAATGAAAGGACGATTACAAAAATCGATCAAGTTGCCTTTAGTGGGAGAGCCAAGGCAGTAAGTCAAATATCGTGTAACAACTTTGTCTTCTAAGCTGCAAGCCCTGGCATTAGTGTATGTGGGAAAACTAAGCTTCGTATGATTTAAAATAGCTTTTAAATTCCCCATATTGCTTAGTTACTTTTTCAATGATATTGTACACAGAGGAAAATGCTTTTTCAACTTCAAAAGCATATATTTTCTATTGATTTTTCGAACATTTTAAAGACCGGCAATATCCCTGCCAAAAAGCACATAAAACGTGAATACTTTCCCCAGAAGCGCTGCATACTTTTGTGCGCTGCGGTCTCAGATAAAAATGTTTGGCGGGGCATCATAACACGCACATGCACATTTATATGGCGGCACCATTGTGCTTGTTATCCTGCGGGCACAGCATCCACATACACATCCACATGTGCTCGTAATTTTGCAATCGTCAATCATGATCAATGTTTCATACACAGCATTTTAAATGTCAGCCAGACTCACATGCAAATGTCTGGTCCTCTTCCTGTGTGGAAAAATCGATGCTGCTGAGCCGTTCCGTCTGGCAGCGGCTTTAAAGTCCGCTTGGAATGGGTTGGGTTGGAGTTCGGGGTTGGGGTTGAGGTCAGCCGGGGGTCAGCTGGGTGGGCAGCCATTTTGCCATTCGTGTTGCAGGGCGCCTTTGTCTTTGTCTTTGGCGCCTGTTTGGAGGCTGTCGCAGCCACAGGAACTGGATGCAGAAACAGGCCATGGCTGTGGCACCGGTCACAATGCAGCAGTCAACGCATTTGAC